ATTCAATTAGAAGATTTCCATCTCGATTATTAATAGCAATTTGGTGGATGTCAATACTTATATTGGTTTCAAGTTACACAGGAACGTTAATGTCATTTATGACATGTCCCATAGAGGAGCCGGTACCGAGTACTTTCGATGAGTTGGCGTTTACCGTTGCAAGTGGTGAATATTCTTGTGGTACTCTTAAGGGACACACGGATGCTAAAATTATGGTGGTAATTATTACACTTTATTTCTTCACTTTAATTGAAATATATATAGCTATTTTCACAGGATATACTTCTTCGTTACTTTACTTTTAGGCTACCCTCATTCTTAGAGCAATTCATATATTCACTTAAAAATAGAAATATTAACTAAAAGTTTAATTTATCATTTTAGAACAAAATGTTAACTACACTTGGAGAATTGCGGGTATTCAGGTATCATTAAAAATATTTATATTTAATTATATTTATATTTCTTNGGTACTCTTAAGGGACACACGGATGCTAAAATTATGGTGGTAATTATTACACTTTATTTCTTCACTTTAATTGAAATATATATAGCTATTTTCACTAAAGCGACATATATCATGAAACTGATATATATATATATATACATATATTAGAAACAGAAACAGTGACATATATACTATTCACGAAATAAACTTCACTATATTTATTTTTCTTATTGTTTATTAGGTGTTAAAGGATATATGTTAATGATATGGAACTTTAAGAATATCAAAGTTTAAAGAGTTAATGTAAACAAGGGTTGTAATCAGTTTTGTATTGAGTAGCCTCAATACATCACCTGAGTGCTTCACAAGAGGACCTTCTACTGGAAAGTAGCCCATATTTAGCTACTGAGGACATGAGGACACACGGAAGATTTAATTTGAATAGTAGTTTTTGGAGTTGAAACCCCAAAAATCTGGTAGTGTTAAGCTTTTGACAGTGTCTTTCAGGTGCCAGTTTCTCATAGAAAGTCCTTTCGGTAGAAATCCTCTTTTTCAGATCGCTCAAGTATTATCTGTTTTCTAATAATTCACTTTTAAAGGGTTTCATATATACATTACAGACATTTTATTATTATATTAATATGTATATTACAACACACAACCTATTAAAGCTTGCCACTGAGAGTCAGGATTGAATCCTGCAGTGGAACAACCCTACAAAATTTTTATGCATGTGATCTGTTCTGTATATGTGATACATTACGTGACACTACTCGATTGCGCATTGTGGTCGTTGCAGAATCAACAATATGTATTAAAACTGTTGTATCCATTCATATTGTTAAATATACATGAAATATGAAAATAATTATCTGTAATTTTCAATAAATTAATTGGTAAAAATACACCTCTGATAATCTATATTTGATCCACCATGTATGTTTATTTTTTACTTTATTTATTTTTACAGAATTCGAATTATTCGAGTGCAAAACTTTTGGGTAGATATATTATCAATTACAACACTTTCGTCGACAGTAATGATCCATTTGAAAAATTGCATAAAGGACGTTTTGCATTGATCAGTAGCCATGGATTTTTAGACATGTTAATAGATAAGGATCAATCTTCTAAATATGTCTTATCAAAAAATGATCTGATGACATTTACTGTTGGTTATGGACTCAGGAAAGGATTTCCTTATAAAAACGACATAAATAAAATGTATAACATCTTTTAAATAATTTTCATAATTTCACTTATAATTTAATTTTATTACAGTTCATGTATTGTATTTTTCAGTGTGTCTCGTTTATTCGAATCTGGAATTATAAGTAAAGACAAACATTCTCTAGAAGTTGGAGTTCAAACGTCTGAATTTGCACCATTGGAATTAAATGACATATTTAGTCCTCTTGCACTATTATGCTTAGGTTATGTCTTATCAATTTTATGTATTTTTGCTGAGATGATAACACACAAAATTTTAATGTAATTTACTTTTAACTAACGCTAGTACTATACAACCGTAATTTATTTTAAATGCCTTGAATATAATATTCTAAAAATTGAAGTGGATTGATGGAATAAGGGAATTCAACACATGGGTGGAAAGTCAATTGAGTTCTTCACGAGAGGACTTTTTACTGGAAACTAGCCCTTATTTAGATATTAGAGACGTGAGAAAACCCGGAAGACTTCATTCGACTAGTATTTTTTGGAGTTGGAACCTCCGAAAGTCTAGTAGTGGTTCAATTTTGACAGTGTTTTTCAGGGCCAGTTTCTGATATGAAGTCCTTTCGGTGGAATTCCTCCATGGGAAATCGCTCAATTACTGTCTGTCTGTCTTCTAATAAATCATTTTTCCACATCTCTGACGCGTTGTTGCGGCACCCCACTTAAAAACTCTTAGCTTACGTTTTACCCACTTTGCCACTGCTGGGCATTTTTAAATGGAAACATTTATTAGTCTTTGTTAAAACAATAAAGGAATATTCTGAATTTATTTTAAATTTAGACTTGACATCTAATTATATTGTATTGTAGTTAAACTTTTAATAAAGATATTAAACTAAAACGTATTTTTTCTGTATTGAGTAAAAATTATAAACAAAGTAAGCATATATTTTTAATTACTTACCTATTATGAATGAATTGCTTATTAAATTAAATTTGTTTCGTTTAATATAATCATATTTCAATTTTCTTTTTCTTCGTGAAACCTCAACTTACAGTAGAAAGTAAATACACAATAAACAGTGTTACAGTATAAAGAATAATTAGTGTAGGAACGCAGTCTATTTTCGTAATAATGCTTTGATGTAAGACTGAAGGAGCATTAAATTCTATGTACTATGCATAAATGTATAAGCCAACGTACTGTGCGTAAATATATATGTACAGTACGTCTGTTTTTTTTCAACCTCCGATGGTCTATAAAACAAAGACAATTGTAAATAACAAAATAAACTTATTACCAAAAGTTAGGTACAAACACAGTTACTTTTCGACATAATCACTGTGAAGATTGAAGCATTTTCATATCTGCGGACAAGCTTTGCAATCCCCTCTTAACTGAAAACGTGGCTAGAAGAGCAGAAGTTCGAGAGTAATGACGATTTTCAAAAGAACGTTAAGGCCCATCTAATGTCTCTAGAGGCAAGATTCTATGATTTAAAACATGCTTGTGTATTTGGTTAGTTTGTTAAATTTTTTCAAACAATACTAGCTGAATCGCCAATTTTATATAACAATATAAATTTAGAGTCTTTCCCTCTTATCGATTGCTGGAAATGATTTTGAATGATTCACTCGGTTTACTGTGTTTTAATAATTTTTATATGGTTAATATACTTGTTATAATAAAACTTATTATAATATAATGTTTTGTAAAAATCATAGTATCTCTTATAAAGTAGAAATATGAAATATTCAAAAATTATGGGAAAAGTAGTGAGTGATGTGGGAAACATTGGATTGATGATTTAAGGTAAGGTATGGTTAGGTTAGGTTAGGGTGACTGTTTACAAAAAGGTGTTTATCGGTAAGATTCAATAGAGAATTTGCTCTTATTTGTGTGTTAGATAGTGAATAAAACTGCTATTTTCCAAAAAATTCACAACATTATATATAACGCTGCGGTCACACTTACAGAACAAAAAGCTCACTGAATCTTAATGGCCATTAACCGTTCAGTGTAAATTCAGTGTTTTGCACGTAAAAAAGAAAAATAAAATGAAAAACTAACAACCTTTTTTTCCATCTAGTGTTAGTTGACATTACTAGTGGTACTGCATCTACATTTATTCCAGCTTCCGCTAATTCAAGCTTAAGGTGGCTTCTTTTATGGTTCTCGGTTACCAATTATGCATTGGTCAATTTTTAACTGTATCTGCTGTGCTTTGGCGACGTTAGAAGCGTAAGGTTTGGGCAGTAAAGCTGATTTTCCAGAAATTTTAGGCGTGAGGAACGTAATATTTTTCTGGATTTGGCTTCCAGTTTACGTTTTCAGTGGTGTATTTCTGAAGCCTTACTCCAGCTTAACAATAGAGGAAAGATTTCCGTAAGCCCAAGACTAAAAGCCCATCAGCGACCGAGTGAATAACACCACTATACACTGGTCGCGGGTTCGTGCCTCACCAATGTGCTGGCCATGTAAAGTTTTCTGGTTTTCTTCACGTTTGTAATATCTAAATAGATGCCAGTTTCACAGAAAATACACCCATATTATACATTACAAACTAGGTAGAATAATGTCGGCACCCGGAATAACAGTGTAATGCTGAGACGTTGCTGTCTTAGTGTAATCAGAGTGGATGAATAATGCTCTCTGATTACACTAGGACTTCACTACACTAGGTGTTGAGAAATATAGTGCTCAGTAGCGTAATAACACAGCTTACATGTAACTTAATACGAAAAGTACAATGGCTTTCGATTGATAAAGAAGTAAGAGTGAAGCAAGACAAAAATTATCAGTTTGGGGGTGCTACTATTATAAAAATCTTGAAAAACACTGCACTGGGACCATCCACGTTGAAAACACAGACACATCGCTGCATTGTTGTAGACATTCGCACTCAGGCAATTGTGGAAACACGTTATATCATGTAGTCATCTGCATTTGTATTTAAACAGTACAGTACATCATACGGGCAGAAATGTTCCAACAATTTGTCAACTGTAAAGAAATGGTGTAAAGAAACAAAAATCGTAATTAAATACTGTTTACGTGATTACTGTTCACAATATTCATTGCTTTAATAAAATATCCATAGGAAAATAATAATAAAATAATTAATCCATTATTTTTTCCAGATGATTATGAATAAACATTGCAGGATTATCAACTAATTTGACTAACGTTGCATCAGACATAAGAACTAAATAAGAATAATCTATAAATTGAGTGAAAGATCAGTTTTTATTTTATAATTAATTCTAATAAGTATTTTATTGTTTCATAAAACTAATTATATTGCTGCTTAATGAACAGCTGTAAACATTGTGTTTATGTAAATTAGTTTTGCATCTACACTGGAGTAGGCTTGCAGTTGTCCTCCTTAAAGCACTTCTACGGTTCAGATTTGTATAAAAGCTACACAATTTCATGCGTTTTAACATTAATTAACTATAAAGTAATGGATATTATACCACGCAAGGATTTTGGAACGTGTTTCACATCCCAATCGGATAATGTATTCTCCCCATATGCAACAAAATTGCAAGAGAAAAGTCGTTTACAATTAGTTTCGTGTAATCCAGTTACAAACTTGACATCAGGATTAAGTTGTAATAATAAGGAGGATGTTAAATGTGCATATGGTTGTATAGAGGAACGAAAATACGTAAGTTGTTTGACCTTTCAAACCTTTTACTTGTAATTTTTTAAAACTAATTTTTAAAAATTTCAGTTAAAAATTTTGAATTACAATGCTGAAATGACATCAAGTAAAACTTCTGTGTATGAGATGGAGTCTAAGATTCAGTCAACTAATTGGATTCGTGACAATAATGGAAATTATCCTGAATTACTGATGGCTTCCGGTCATGATCTATGTATTTATGAAATGGCAGACTCCGATTTAATCCTCAGAACTACTGTTTTTGAGGTATGAACTCTTCACTAATACGTAACCTTCTGTCTTCTTAATATAATCTATTGATTCTTGCAATGGTTTCTCTTTAAATTTTTCTGTAGGGAAACAAAACAAATCGTGTGGTATATTGTGAATGGAATCCTTGGGATCCATCGTATGTAGCGTCATTGCACGCAAATGGAGAATGTATGTTGTGGTCATTACAGGTAAGTTAATTCTCCTGTATAAATCCCTAAAGAGACTTTTTGAAACTTAATCTTCACTTCACTTAATGTAGCGACAGTCAAAGATCGATTTCCGTGAGGAATTCGAATATAATGCAACAGCCATTGTATACAACGGTGGCCCACAACATAAAGGAATGTGTTTCTGTGATGACACGTTGCAGAATTGTTTCCTAACTTACAATAATTTAAAGAAATGCTACCTTCATGATCTACGAACACCATGTTCCAAATACCTAGGAGTTTTTCGTGATGGTATTATTGACATGAAGACATCATTGAAGAATCCATATTATGTTGGATTTATATTTAAAAGAGATGTAAGTTACTTACTTCTTTTGTGGTAGACAAAGCCTCAAGCTAACTTTTTTGTCCGTTTTAACCAGGTTAAAGTATTAGATATTAGATATCCAGTTGTAGAATGTTTAAAGTTTAACATATTTAATGTATTGGATGAAGTTACTTCATTTGCATGGTCACCAAATGAAGAAGAAATGGTTATTGGCAGTAAGTTATTTTTGCACGTTTTTTTTAATGCTTTTGTCTTTTTTTAATATTTAATTAAGAAAATTTATAGCTTCGTTTGGAGAATGCATTGTTTGGAATCCTGAAAAAAACGTATATCTGAGAAGTAGCAATGAAGGTATTAAGTGCATAATGAAAATAACGTATCATCCATTACAAAATAGAACACTGCTAACTGCTAGTAAATCATCATCATCATCTCCAACTGTAAAACGAACGTGTGTTGCTTGCATAAATGTATTTAAAATAACAGCTGATTGTACAGATTGTAATAATTAAATATTTTGTTAAAATACTCTAAATTGTATCCTTAATAATAAAAAAATGTGGAAATGCTACTGTGAATGTTATACTAAGTGCCTTGTTTTTTCTCAAGTGACCCTTGACCACCCCATGCTCTACTAGACAAGTTAGTGGGAGTTACGCGTAAAAAAAGTGGACAGTTGGGGCGAAACAACTGTCTTCGTGTTGTATACAGCTTTTAAATAATGAGATACACCTGGTTTTTAAGTTTTCCACTTCGCCTCCCATTTGTAATTTAAATTTTCCTATCAACTGCCATTTGTGCTCCCGTCAGTGTCCGTTGTTCAGATGTTTGACTTTGTCATAAAAGTTTCATAAATTTAAATAAAGTAAACACCAGAAATAATCTTTATACTGTTTTGCGGAATACTAAGGAATAACATCTAAAGAAATGAAGATGGAGAAGGCTTCAATGCTTTTTTTATTAAAAAATAAAGCTGCTTCTAGTTACATGAAGCGCAGTTTAAAAAGATCTTTTTATTGGTAGCAAAAATTATTTAATTTATTTGCAAAATTTTTGAGTTTCAAGGAATACAGTTGTTTTTAATACTTGATTATTAAACTATTTTTTTCGCTCTGTGTGCATTAATTACCCCTTTTCCCTCTATTGCAAGACGTCTGACTGAATAGTAGATCACACACTGATTCACAGTGGCGTGTTATAGCTTCATAGGGTCCAGGTAAATTCTAATTAAGGGTTCTGTGAAGGATACAATGCTATCTTCATTTTTCTTCAGGGAAATATCTCGTAAAAGATTGGTCTGAGATCCCCTGTTGATGGAAGCTCCAGGCAATTTCCCTTTCTGCCCATTGGATAACGTGCCACTGTGGATTCAATTAGATCCAGTGATTCTCTTTATTCCATCGACGTCAGGCAGTGTCAATCTCTTCCTGCAATTAACAAGAACCTATTTTGTAAGGACTAATATAAATTAATATCTATCTGTCGGATTATGAGATTTGTTGTAATAATCTTAGCCATAAACTATTTCTCTGGTACAATTCTAGGACCGAATGATTATCCATGAAGAATTTCCTACCTTTACGAATCCCCGCGCCTCTAATTTTTTTTCTATTTTCGTCATGCATTGCTATTGAATTTGTTCCTGCCTAAAGATTAAACCCATCCCCACAGATCTCCTACCCCATTTTTTAGATGTTTTATGGTGTCATTGATGAAAACTGGCTCCTATTTAGGTGTTATTAACATGAAGAAAACCCACATAACATGGGTCCGCACTTCTCCAACGGTTTGGACACACGATCAGCTTCGTTAGGTGGTTTTATCTACTTGGCCATTGGTGGGCTAGAAAGGAACACTACAGAAAATTTTAAGTGGTGGAGAATATTTATTGATATTCCAATGGGGTAATAATAATTTCTGCAAAAGTTATGTAAATTGGAATTTTATGTACGAGTACATCCTTTACAACTACCTTCACGTGTCTCATTATGTATCTAGTTTAGCATATTTGTTTCAAACCAGAAACATTTTCCATAAATAAAACTCATAATGGTACTTGCCCACCAATGTTCAAACAGGTTTCACGCAGTTAGCACCATACTAGCGGGCTGGCCAAACGGAATTTTACAAATTTTCTTTATGTCTAACATCTAAATAGAGAAAGCCCTCTCGAGAGGCAACTTCACTTGGCAGATCACCCACGTTTTGCATTATGGATCTACTAAACACCACCACTCACGGGTTCGTGCCTAACAAATAAGCAAGTAATGTGAAATATTCCGGATTTTGTCCCTTTGTTTAACACGTAAACTGGTGTTTACTTATAGGAAATTTTTCCCGGGAGACACTCCATCTTGGTAGATTGGCATGCGTGTTATTTTGCCATATTCCACCAAGACTAACGGACATTTTTAATGTTTTGTATTAGTGCAAGAAACATGTATTTTAATTCTACTACGAAACCTGTAAACATGAATTGTCGCTATCGAATTTAATTAGTTTTGATCGATTTAAAATATTTTACAACAGCAAACTTTAAATTCAAATGGATATCGTCTGTATTTACTGCACGCAATTCGTATCGTGTATAATACGCACGCACTTTTTAATGGAGTTTTTGAATTACAATTTATTTTAAGAAACACAATATATATTAATATGAAAAGATTACAATTTATTGGCATGTATAAACTGGGAACAAAACTTCCATCTACATATTAATGAGAAATGCTAATGTAGAAACCTGATCCTTATGAATTGAAATTTATTTGTGGAATTTGACACGTGCCAATTTGGAGTGTTTTCGGGAAAGACTTTCCTATGAGATGGTGACCCTGTTTACGTGTTAAACACGTGAAGAACACCCGAAACATTCCTCATGGATAGCATATTTGCCAGGTACGAACCCGCGACTCGTGTTTACTTGGTTTATTTAATTGGCCACTGGTGGGCCTGATTCTAATGCTAAAATTAACTCCTCTATGCCTTATATTTGTAAAGTTTTTCATCATCTATAGATTTTTCAAACCAAAATGTAATGTAACAGAAAGCAAATCTGATTCTTTTGTGTTATTAAGCAAATATTTTTCGAACGACAGAATTAAGTTTATAGAAAATGTTTTTTCAAATATTTATCACGAGAGAAAGAAATCAATCCACACTTTCTATATAATGAAAGAACTCAGTTTATGTTTTATAACTGTACTTGCTTTGTGATCAATAATAAACATTTCTGCTGTATGAATGCTGCGATTTAATTTTCTAATGCTATTGTATTCAATATATACCAGTGGGATGAATACGGTCAACGAAGCTGATGTAGAAGATGCAGTTCTTCACATTAATTTTGTTAATGTCTTTGTTCCTATTCAGAATTGTTTTTCCTATAGAACGTGAGTACTAAACATCTTTTATAAGAATTAATTAACTAATTTAATTTATAATAAACACTATTAAAATACAGTTAAACTGCTAAATAACGGTCATTTTATTCAAAATACAGCCATGTTTTCAGGCTGTATTTTGAATAAAATGACCCTTATTATTAAATGAAAGAAACTGTAATTAAAAATTAGTTTGCTGTTCGATCCACAAACAAATCTCATAAAGCGCTTTTTACTTAAAAATATTAAAATTATACTTCGTTTTTTAGAAGATGATGACGAGGGGAGAGTAATTAGAGTTGCTGGTATTAAGGTAATTAGAACATTTATTGAGAATTGTTTTCAGTTTGGCACGTTTAATCTAATCCTTTTCTATTTTTTTAGAATAAACTTTACATGAAAACTGACAAAAATGAGAAAATAATTGATGAAGGACAACTATTGAAAACGTTCGATACAGTTATTCAAAAAGCAAAGTTTAGGTAAAATTTATATTAAAATTTAATAAAACCTTTTTAAAACGGAACTCGACAGAACTTTCCGTTTTATACAGGGATTACATCGAATTGGCATGGGCGATATGTCAAGTGGAGATGACATTCGAGTTCTTTTTATGGAAATCTGTCCCATATCTAAGTGTTAGAGACATAATGAAAACACAGGAACCTTTACTTTGACATCCGGCTAATGAGGTGCGAACCTGCGACCAACAATTTATATTTACGACTGCATAATATAATAGTTTTATGCTTCAAAGACCTATTAAATGACACTGTATTGTATATATATATGTCCCAGAGAAAAAGCCAATAACTGATCTTTAATAGGTCTTCCGTTACCTTCAATAGACAGGTTTTGGGCTTGTAGTGATATTTTATTTTTAAAAAATCGGTTTATTTTTCGTTTAGATTGGTTTCCATTATGTACAGAACCCGTTTTAAACAGGTATTACTGTATTTCATTATTTATCTATTAATTACTTCGTTTAGTAAACATAAATATATTTATGTAATGAAATTTTTTCTGAAATGTAAGTTTTCTTTATGTTCTTTATGATCGTCTCGCAAAAACCATTTAAAATTCTTTATATACAAGGTGAAAATCAAAAGCATTTTTCTTTTGAAACACAGCATCCTGGAGGCATGCTAATTCTAGGAGACGTGCTCACAGTTATTACATAGTAAAATACTTTTTTAAATCTATATATAGGGGAGATCGGGGCAAGATCGGCATGTTAAGCTTTACTTAAATTTTGTGTAATAAATACTGCTGTAAACTGAAAAAAAAGCTTTGCATATTGTCTATTGGAATGTTACCTTACTATAGAACTGGTTAAAATCAGTTTGGAAATAAAAATAATTAAAATAATTACAACTTTACAACAAGACAGAAATTGACGAAGTTGCCCCGGGTATAGGGGCAAGATCGGCAACTTCTCTCTTTTTGTAAAGTTGTAATTATTTTAATTATTTTTATTAAAGTTGCCCCTGGTATAGGGGCAACAGTAATGGGGCAAGATAGCACGTATATAAAATTATGTTATTAACAATGTATAAGTTGGAATTCACTATTAAAACAAAGAAATACAAATCCAACACCCATTTAATATTATTACAACGAAATGCAAGTTCAAAGACATATATACATGAATAACAAATGCGAACATGTTTTCATTTACAATCTGTTTGATTTTTATCCTTTGCTTCTAATGTGGCTTTATGTTGCCGATCTTACCCCGCTAGTCATGATTTCGAAACATTAAGTACAACCCTGAGAACAGAATGCCAAGCCATGATCTGGCCACGTGAATAAGTTGAAGTTACATCTATCTAACAGGAAAAGTAACTTTCGTTATCATGGAATTATAACAAAACCTGCCAATTCAATATAAATGAAAAAAAAAATATTATATGGAATTGAACGAAAATGAAAATTTGCTTGATAATTCAACTACGCTTGTTGGAGAACAATAAAAACACTACACTCAACAAGCCACCAATAAAACTCAACTGCCTAACCTATAACCAAAGTCTCCTTTTAATTTGTTTTTAAAAAAAAGCGCTTGACAAACTTGCCCCGCATGCCGAAGTTGCCCCGATCTCCCCTACAATTTATTTTTCCAGATTTATAATATATATAATTATACGCAAGTTTAATTAATATATCTTTTTGCAGATATGAACTAATTAAACCGATATCACCAAAGTTTGGGTCAAAATCATCAAAAACTGGGAATTGGACTGGAGTATTGGAACAAATCGTTAATAAAGTAAGTTTTAATGATAAAAATTATGAACCTAAATGAGAATTGTTTCAATATTAATTAAAATTAAAATCAAACGTTACTAAATATATAATAAAACCGCGATTTAGTAGGGCTTTTTGTTCACCTCTTAAATTCGCCTACCAGTAGTTAAGTAAATAAAACCACTGAAACGTCATGGGTTCGTGCTTTACCAACAGATTCTATGGAATTTTTCAGGTTTCTTTTAGTATAATACATAAAAAAAGCCAGTTTCCCGTAAAAAAAGCCTCCATGGGGGCAATCTCCTGCATGTTCGAACTATTTTTGCTCTTTGTTCTGCCGGAATTGGCAAGATTTCTCATGGTTTGCAATGTACTTTCGAGGTTTGCCCAATCATTTTGTACATAATCATTACGCCAAATATAAGTTTAATATTCAGAATTAATATTATTTTAAAGTAAAACCGATTTCTAGCCTGTTTTATATGATTTTTTTAAATTCTTAATATATAAAACTAAGAACTGAATCAGATTTAAAGATACTTACTTGATGGCATGCTTTGAAAAATTACAGAAAGCTGATATTGCATTCATTACTGTCTTCTTATCATTCACTAATTTCCAACATATGCAGTTTTCTTCTCATGTTGTATTCGTAAAAATGATATTCATCGTGAAGAAACCAGAAAAATTATCAAATTGGACATCATTGATTAAACCGTTTCAACTCGAAGTAAGTGAAATTAATACGGATGAATTTCTTTAAAATATTCGCAAGGAATTAACACAAATTTTCTTCAATTTAACAGTTGTGGCTAGTTACATTTATAACACTAATTTTATGCGGTTACATTTTACATAAAGTATTACAAGAAGATGCCATTTTTGAGGAAACTGAACCGACGTGGAGTAGAATGAATGTATTCTGGTATCTCTTTGGTACATTTGCAAATACAGGTAAGAATTTGCAAGAAGGTTAAGAAAATTAATTAATTAATTAATACAATGATTGTTTTTATATTGCTTCAGGTGGAAATTTGGGAGCAGTTGTTAGATTTCCATCCAGATTAATTCTTTCTGTCTGGTTATTATCTATAGTAGTGTTGATATCCAGTTATAGTGGAACACTCATGTCTTTTATGACTTGTCCAACATTTGAAAAAGTACCACGAACTGTAGAAGAATTAGCAGATGCTGTACAGAAAGGAGAATTTTCATGTGGATGCATGAAGCAAAACTCTTTTCATGGATTTCTCTTAGTAAGTAGAATCAATCATAAACCATAATTTCCCCTGATTTTATCTCTTAACACTTACTTATAATATTACAATAATAGACTAAGGTAACTAAACCTTTAATATACTTTATCAAGGTGGCCATAATTAAAGCATTCTTATTCGTAACCCTCTGCATATAACACCAAACTGATTATGTAAGGAAAATACACGAAAGAAAACACTATAGGGAAGACCAACTTTGAAATGATATAGGGGTGTATTAATTTGATTTTTTGGACATTAAGAATAAAGTTAATGAAAACAATGACATTAATGCCACTGCAAGCAAAAGAGTACACACTTGAACAATGGAGTACACATTAAGTAACATTTCTTACAATAGTAAGCAGCCTCTTCAGAAGTCATATCATTTGAACAACGGATAAATGTGTTTTCTGTATGTTTCTGTTGTTTTCTTTCTTACAGTTAGAGGGTACTCTAAGCAGGGAAACTTTAATTACGGCTACCTTATATAATATATTTTACGTCACAATATATTGTATGTCTTACAGAAAACAAAGTCAAAATCTACTGTATCATTAGGACATCACATAAAAGATAACGATAATCGTTTACCTGTCGACGAGGGAATCAGAAAGGTTCTAGAAGGTCGCTTTGCATACATCTTGGACGAATTTGGAATTAACCAAGTGATGAAGAAATATGGATATCAAAATTTTCTCTTATCTTCCGACTCATTTGAAACATTCACAAAGGCATACGCATTCCGAAAAGGTTTTCCATACGTAAAGAATTTCAATAACATGTAAGGATTTTCTAATTGTTTATAAATTTTATAAGATTACAATAACGTTTTATAATCATTTACAGAATATCTCGCATGTTCGATGCCGGCTTGACGAATAAAGATTTTGGTTTAGAAACTGTTAGTAAAGTCGCTGATAAGAATGGAATACGGCCATTAATGCTAAACGATATCTTGAGTCCTCTGGCTCTACTATTTATGGGTTACGTATTGTCTATATCTTGTTTTATCGCCGAAATATTCATTCATAAATTAATTAATAAATTGTAAAAAAATGTTTTTAATGTTAATCATCATTCCCGGTTTGATGGTAATTTGCACCTGAAGCGAAATCAATTTCGATTCCTCTGCTTGAAGAGAAGTAACTACTTCAAACAAGAGCTTCAGTGCCAAAAGCAAGCACTATTGGCACTGAAGCTCTTGTTTGAAGTATTTATAAACACATTTAAAGTAGAGAAAAATTTAAAATTAGAGTGAGATTGCGGTGGTTCAGATTACTTAAGATGAAAATGGAACATCTAGGAAGGAGGAGAAAAGGATCACGACAGAACAATGGTTAAATTTATGCATGAAGATATGGAGGATCTTGAAATTAATAGGAATATAGCAAAGAAAGGGAGTAAAGTGGAAGAAAGCCATCTACAACAGAAATTCCACGAGAGTGTGACAAATAAGAAACCGTGAAGAAGTATAATATTAGTTCCAAACACATAAATTAATTATGTAATATTTATTTACACATAAAACTATTAACACGAGGTTTTTTTCACGAATTCCATACGATTTTTTGGTAGCTGAGTTTCTCCTACAGATGATATGTGAGTCGTTGTAGACATTCGCTTCATGGTTATGCTACTCCAAATTCTACTTTCTCCTCCTTGACGAAGGTTATACCTTTGATACGATCTTTTTAATAAATAGACGACCTGTAAAGTATACATCAAAGAAAATTTTAAAAATATTCAATTTTATATATAAATTCTCATAATATCATTCCTTTTAACACTATACTCTATGTAAAATTTAAGATTACGTATTGAAAATACTTAAATTTTCAACTTTATACATGAAATAATAATTAAACTGAATACTTATATCAAAGTTATCTTACCTCTCCGTTAATGTAACAGAATATTACAGCAACTAGCAAGCCCTGCAAGAGTTATCACATGTGTAAATTTATATGTAATTAAAACATGTAATTTATTCATACCTGTAATCCATCCATAGCATGACTAATGTATGTATAAGCTTCTAAAATTTCACATTTTCCAGACTGTGGACGATATATCACAAGAATAAAATGGACGCCAAATAATGGAACTAAAATTAATGTCGCTCTAACGGCTTTCCTACATAAAATAAAAGTTATTTTAAGATTTTATACATTCGTTTCTTTATTGAAAGAATAAATGTTTAATTATTCTTTGAATATTACCTATATTGGCTTGGTTCATTTGCATGAGTGGCTCGAAGTTTCGTAACTAAAACTCTGATGATATTACAGAGAAATGCTAAATTCAACTAAAAAAAATATATATATTTTTTAAAACTTAGTTTATGATTCTCTATAATAATTATTATAAAAAGAATTGGATATACTTGAAGACTTAATAAATTAGGTATATTCATTATCCATTCGTACGTTTCTTCTGGGATTGCCCAACACCTGCGAATAATTGAAATAAATGCTTATTGACGTGGTTTTAAACAGTGTTGACCCTCTATTTTACTCAATTTAGTAAAATTATCGTAATTAAGAATATTAAATTGTGATTGTTATTAAGCAGTTTTAAATTATTCTTAACATCCCTGCTTAATGTTCTCCTCGCAGGTAATCTCTCATTATCATGTACTCTTCAGCATCTTCGCACCAATCATCTCATCTCATCGTTCATTTCCTCTCCAATTCGCCATATTAGCTTTCTCTCCATTCTCATCTACATCCTCTTCATAATTACTTTATCAGTTCTCGTTTCTTCTCCCCTATACAGTTTTTGGAAACGTTTGGGACCATTTAGTCAGTGCCCAATGCCCAGACAAGAAGAACAAGATATTAGATAATATTAATTTTCCTCCTATTACAACACAGGCTGCTACCTCGTGTAAACTTGATTATAAATAAGATACAATATACAATCGCTATATCCGTTATATCGAGGGCCAACGGTATCATCTCAAATATTAAATTAATAATGTTTATATCAAGGTTTATTGAAATACTCACCTCTCATCTGAATATATCTTCCTTAATGTCACATAAATAGAAACTGGTATAGCAGGAAAAACTAATTATAAAGTATATACATGACGTTTTATAAATAAGGTAAATGATCCTTTAGTCATTTTGAAGAAATTAATACATACCCCATCCAATCAGGTAAAACATTATAAGACTCTTCTGCTCGGCAAAAGCCGCAGCAATTAGTTTATGTAAGTAAAATCCTTCACAAAGCATCCACATGTAGTTGGTCATACGAAAATATTTTGTCAGGACTAACAATATTTTACACCCTACCTAAAATTACATACAATAGCATTAACTTAAATACATATAGAGAATTTTTCAATATAACACAGAGTAGCCATAATTAAATTGCCTCTATTCAAAGCATTCTTAAGCTTCAAACAATAAGTGTATTGACACCAAAATTTGTATAGTAAAGTAGTACTTGATCAAGGGGCATGCCTTGTACACAAACTGTTTATCGTTGTAAAGAATGTTGCTCAATGTTTGCTCAATGTAAAATTGTTTTCAGCATACTTTTCATAGTCTGTATACAAATTTTGGAGTCAATACGCCTGTTGGTTACGGCTACAGACTGCTTTGAATAGGAAAAGTTCAATTCTGGCAACCCTGTGTATAAAATTCATAAATTAACCTCGTTAGTTTCCAGAATTGTATTTTCTTCGGTAGTGCTGTCAAGTTCGTCCAGCATAACAATAGACTTGAATAAAATTACAAAAATACCATTCAGAAATAGAGAAGCGAATAAGTTCTTGTGCATTGTTATTCGGTGTACTTGCAATTGTCTGTAGAAGAAATTTATTTGTTATACTCACTAAAATCAGATAAATAATACATAAGTTGATAGACTTACTTATAGATCATGAATATTATTAATGCGGGGATCAGAAAAACAATTGAAATAGCGTATGTGATAATGTGAAAGTACAGCAATCTTCTAACTTCCTAAATGAATTGATCCTATTATTGTCCTATTGATCCTATTATGAATCCTATTATTGTAGAAATTTTTTAAAAAAGTTACATATAGAGACATACATTAACACGTCCACAGTTTCCATAATTGGTCCATTCGTTATTATATTCATTGTTGACATACCAAGTACCATTGGGCAAACATTCTTTTATTGCGTAACCTATAGTTAATTTTAATTTAACAATTAACATTTATATCATAATAAACTAAGTCACTAAGTACTAACTACAGTTGTGGTACAATTGTTACACCAAGAGCAGTGTCGAATTTACATATACGATAGATAATCCATGGCTTAGGCCGTCATTTCAAACCTCATCTTGAACGTTTCAGTGGCCGGGTGGATAAGACCATTGAACACTGGTAGATCACAGGTTTGCACTTGACCAAAACATTAGCCATGTGAATTTCCACGTGTCTAACACTTATTTTTCCACAAAAACACCCCATTAGCTGATCACCCATGTGTTGCTCTGTTTTCTTCCATCAATACAATTCAATTAGAATCTCATCATAAAAAGCACATTTTACAAGTTCTCTTCGGTGCTTCTGCTTAAGGATCACACTAAACATAAATCTGACACTGCCCATTGGTTGTCAAATTTCTTTTAAATGAGGCTTGAATAATGTTACGCTTATACGATATATTTACGTGGGCATGCAGGAGGTTCACTTTTAAAATAAACATGTTTGGCACAGGGTGCAACAGCGTTAGTTCCCGCTTGAGTATCAGGCCAACATTGCCAACCATCCCAAGTTCTCGGACAATAGATTCCTGCATACAATTAATAAATATAATTGAATAATTTAAATTGAAATATATAATTTAATATGGGTATTGTACACCTACCATTAAACTCCATTGGATTCCTTACCATTTCTTCACAACAATTAAGTGCAGCCTGACAACACTCTACCCATTTTTCAATGAATTTTTTCGATGAAAACGTGGACAGAATTGGGTTACTCTTATTGTTCGGATCGGGTAAATATCGTGTATTATCTTTAGTATCATATAAATATCCATCGCCCTTATACCTAGAGAAACAAGGATTCTTTAAGTGTAAATATTGACTTATAGTGCCATACAATACCCAAATAAACTTACACAAACTTGAAGCTTATATTAAAAAATATCCAGTCGGGTAAGTAATCGTAACATCTTGCACAAGTGTCGTAACGATAAGAAACATAATTCAATTTAATTTTCCTTTCGGTTCGACAGTAGATATTATTAGAAGCTGCAATATTTACATCACCTCTTGCCATTTTAACTAAAAGAGGTAGGGTCTGAGGGGTGGAAAAACAGATTTATTGGTGAAATTAGGCATATATATTACAATTAAAGTGATTGTTTTAGTTATAAAGAGAAGTTCTATGATTGCATTCAATTAATATTAAATATAATAAAATATATTTATAAATGTATACTTAATTTACTTATGTACATTTAATTTTTGTCAGTTATTACAATAAAACATTTCTAAATTGTTCTATATTACCTGAAAAAATAAAGAAATACAAAGGATTGATGAATAATGTTGTCCCATTATTGTGGATAAAAGGGATTGTTTTCTCATCAGAATTTATCCTCTTCTATCTTCTTCATCACTAGGCATCACTGTTGTTATTCTACAACCCAATAGTTGAAGTTCAAAATAATTACATGTCTGATGGAATTTCTATGAAAAACAATATACAAAAATTAAATTATAATAATTATAAGTAAATATATTATTTCACAAGAGACCCACCCCTCATCCCTCAGTATCCCAATTTGGGATCTGGCCTAACTCACGATGGTCATGACTGAAAAACTCTTGCTGATTCCAACAGGGTGGAAAAAACTAAAATAATTAATTTGAACGTAAAATAATCTTTATACTTAAAATTATACTTAAAAACCGATCAATAAGAAGACACGCAATATGGTAATTTATTACATTTTTGTAAATTATCCTTCGCTAATTTACACGTGGCCCACCAGTGGTGAAGCGTTTCTGTTCTCTGAACACTGGGAGTACGGTCGTAAGTTCGTGCTTCGCCAGGACGAGGAGTTTTCAGTGTTTTCTTCACCTCTTTGAAACATAAATAGGTGCCAGTTACCCTTAAAAAGACCTCCATGAAGACATTCCTCCTTCTCATAACACCGAATATCCAGAGAAGGCGAGGGGGAACCATTCTGATACTCATTTCCCCCAGGAATCACTTTCGCGCAAAATTAATCAACAATTAACCTGCGCTAGGTTAATCGCCAACGTCAGGGTGAATTGACATGGCACATGAAAAAGAAGAATTTACACATGGGCCATCTGACCGTGGCCAGTCTGTTGGCGAGGCGCTAACCCACAAACAAGTACAAGTGTAAACATTCGAGAAGATTAATTTGTTTCATTTCTAAGTAAATCGACCGAAGAATTTTCATTTGCTATGCCTTAAAATATAAAAAAAAAATTAAAGAAATATCAATGTTAACAACAACCATAAAGTGTAGGAAGGCGTTTTTTCCATATCCATCATGAGTTCGGTCAAGCTCACAATAATGATTAATAATAATTAATTGTATTTAAAAATAAAACTAATGCTCAACTTACAAATTAAGTTAGTAAAAATTTTAATGGCATCATCCTCTACCATAAATTATATAATAAATTAAGGCGAATTCACTATTAATAATAAGTAATTACCATTAATATCCATTGATAAATTCGGTTAAGAGATTGTATAAAATCATAACAGATGGCGCCACTTTAAAATTATTTGTAGGATTATAACCTTTTAAACAAGAAGTTCCCTTATTTCCATTAATCCCCTTCCTATATTAATTAATAGAGAATAAGAATTTCTTATCATTCAATACCAAATGATATCTAGTAATTTATCAACCCAACAACTTTAACCGATTAGTCGCTTGGTGGCGCTAGAGAGACAGCGCTGCTTTAGATAATTCTATATTAGCGCCACCTGTTTATAAATAAAAAAAAAATATTATTTTCCTTGCCTAAACTTTTACAAATCAAATCAATAGACATTAACAATGAGAACTACTGATTAAAAGCTTGATAATAGAAGTTTTTGCAATTCGTATGATAATGAGAAAAACTTAAATATTCAAAAAATACTGTGTATTTAAATATACAGGGGAGGATTTAGGGAGTTGCACGGGATGCAGCTGCACTCCATTCTAGAGGTTTCTCCTGAGTAAACACCTGTAAAGGCGTACTTTTTTTCTTTCTTCACCCCCTCTAAAGATTTTTAAATCCACTTTAGTACATATACACTGCATGTTTTTTTTTCTGTTACATTGATAATATTCGCATTAACTACATAATACATAAATATTCATTTATATAAGTGCTTGAATTATTTACAAAATTTTTTCCTTCTTTTCTCTGATCTCAATCTGTGATGCTATTGAATTGTAGAGTCTATTCAAAGGTATACACTAAAGGAAAGAAGAGAGTGAGAGGATAAGAAAGAGCAGAGAAGGTCCCAGTAGGATACTGAGCAGATAATGTGAATGAAAAAATATAAAGTAAATAATGTTAATCATAGAGTACGTAAAAGTAAATACATAAAGTAACAGAATAAAATAGTATTTAGGACAGAAAAAAAATAAATTACGTACGATAGCCAATAACAATATATCAAACACGATATAATTGTAGTTTTAGAGCTTGGGTAATGTAACGAATGTATATAAAGAATACAAAATTAATATCTTCAATACCCCATTATCTATATATATATACTTCTTTTAATACTCATACTAAACTAGAATTTAGAAAAGCTTAACTAAATCCTATAAATACTTATTATCACTTTTTCGAAGTTCTATTCTCTACAGAATTGAATTTTCTGGAAGAAATGTTGACTTTCAATGAATTTAATTCAACATATTCTCACATTCCTTTTTTTTTAAATTAAATATTAAATATTATTTATAGAATTTCTAAATAACGTTCATTTAATATTTTGTATTATTTTAATTGTTATTTATTCAATTTAATAGAAATTTAAGTTTAATATTTCACGTAATTTTACGTATTTATCATCAGTTCGAATTCCTTTTTTTTTAATGTCTAATGATATTTTAGGGTCTATAAATAAATAAATAAAGGTTATTATATAAAGAGACTGATGAATTGTCTTTAAATAAATGCTGTATTTTCGATAAGAAGGGTCAAGATCTATACAGATCTGTACACGTATACAGCAGTCATATTATTTATAACAGACTTAATAACATTACATTAATTATACATTACGTATACTTAAAGATCATGAGACTACAACTGATAGAGTGGTTAAAACATGGTAGTTAGTCACGTGGTGTTTCTCAGGCTTACGTTTGTATAACACCTGAATTCTCGAGATATTGCTCTGGCATATCCCGAAATTACTTCCCTATTGGTGTGCCTTTAAGGAGCTGATGTATGTGCCTAGTCTAGTCAAGAGAAGCCACATGACCAGCTTATCACAGTCTAGTTTTCTTTATTACCTGGATAATGCTGTCACTGTTTTATTTTTAATCAGATCTTCATTGTAGAGACTCTGCACTCTTCTGTGCCTTTGTTAATATTAAATTTTATATTATCCTTTCTTATAAATATAAATAATTTATGATATCATTTGAAAATACTTAACGAAACTTTTGACACGCTTAGAAAAGTATGACGTAAAAAGAAAATTTTATGTAGAAAACATTAATATTAATGTTTATTATTACGTTATTTTCTTGTTTGATTTAATAAATATTCAAGTGCTATTTTCTAGAAAAATTGAATATATTTATTTAAAATATACAGAATTAATATAAGAACTATTTATTGTGAATCGTCACAATACTAGACCTCAAGTTTTAATCCTCTTTTAATTTAAAAATAATCATGTGACATCCGGTCCAGAGCGGAAGTTCGTGTATAATTAATTGGGATTTCTATCTGCTAAGCTTTCCTTATCGATTTCCATCTATCCAATTCGTTTTTGTGTTTAAGGAAATACACACAGACATACAAACTGGCGATAGTGAGAATGTATAAGTGCAATACAGCTCAATAATCAAACAATTTAATACCTTTTACTACTTTTCACTTCATACATGTAGCCAAGTTAATATTGTATATTGTATTTTAAACTGGAACCTCAAAAGGATATACAACGTAACCTAATTTATAATACAGGGTGATTGATAAATCACTTCCTATTTTCGAATGCGTGTATGGCGTGAGTAACGTATATATGCAATTCATTTCGATACGGTTGCATGCAATAACACGTGCCATTTTTTTTACTTTCACACGTGACTAATGTGAAGCATAATATACGTCAAGGAGAGGGTTCAGATAACTATCATATATACAAGATTTGGTGCCTGGTACACACCTTGCAATTGTCACAGGGTCTGTCAAACTTGTGTATAGGCTAATAGATTATCCTCATGCCATGTTCCAGGCCCAAAAATCTTCAGAAGGATGCAGAAAAGAAACAATATGTCTCAGATAGTAAAATGTTTTAAAGACAGAAGAGGGTTCAGCTGCTCAAGTGTACCCCAAAAGACTCTCTTTCTTACAATATATCGTACACCGATTTCATTGTAAATACTTCTAAAATACTTCCAATTAAATTACTAAAATTAAACATAATTAGCCATGTGTCACATGCATTTTATGCATAATTTACTGACACTATAATCATTAGTAAGTTATATTTACTACAATTACTGCATTAGTTCTTAAGTAAACAGACTTATCTTATCACTTACAGTGTTATTTTTTTAATAACTTACTTTGTCTGTAACAAAAATATGATAAAAGTAATTGTCCAGGGAGGATAAGAAATGAGTTTTTCATTAAAGATACTAGATAATTGCAGAAGAAATCTAGGGAAAAAAGTGTTTACTCTCATTGATTTATGGTGGTAGAGAGGATCTCGAACATGTTTCATTACTTTCTAGTGCTTAAAGTAAGTTAACAAGTAGATTGCAAGGTCGATACTCATCACACGATTTACAACATATAACTTTACAAAGTCAATAATTGACTTTGTAAACTTACATGTCACAAATTGTATGATCTGTAACAAAATCTAGGAGTTATAATTAAGGAATTGCTTCTAATTTTATTTAATTATATTTATTTGATAAAATGTAACGTTAATTAGCAATTAATTGAACGGTAAATTACAATTTTAACGAATTATTTGTTAAAATTTGTATTTTATTTTCATGTTTTGTATGTGAAAACTTGCTAAAGTTTCTTCTGGATGATGCGAGGAGAAACAAGATAAATGATAGCAGAAGTCTCTAATCAACAGTAATCGATACTTCTTCCATAAAATCGATTTAGTAACCGATAATATCTCGTATTAAACAAGAAAATAGGGTTTTGTTTAATATGTAAACGTGTGTCGTGTATATAAAGTGATACTGTTACTTCGTTTCCAAGCATTGGTGCTTGGAAATGAAGTAACAGGCGCTGCCATCTGATATTAATGTGTAATTAATTACGAGAAGTATTTTTTGGTTCCATGAGGAAATCACTATGGAAGCAAATGTACAAATTTATACACAAGATAATACTATGCTGCATACTGTGTTGTACATGACCACTAATAGATAGAACTGATTTTCTCTTAAGATTAACCACTCAGCAACTGATGGGCACACTTTCTTAGGCACCTC